ACCTCAAACTTGACAGAAATTCAAAATGGTCCTCAAACTTGACAGATTCCAAATGGTGGAAGTATTTAATACACGTGTTTATTTATTTAAAATATTTATATACCTAACATGGTTCTTTTAAAAATGCAGTGGTGACTTATGAAAGCTCAGGGGTGGGAATACTGGACAATGTCCCCTTCTCCAGGTCTTAGATGTGACAGCTGCTGAGGCTGTTTCACCTGATCTCTTTGACAGTTCCATAGATCAGAATAAAGGACATACACACCTGGGATAACAGGACATTTGGGTTCCTTGGACCAATTCACCCAGGCAGCTTGACAGCCTGCAGCACCTGGCTCTTCTCAGGGGCAAGGGAACCTGATAGACTCTGGAATAATGATGGTGATAGAAAACAGCCCACTCCCTAGGCCTTAGACCAGCAGTGGGGAATCTCCAGAGCACAGGTCCCAATTTGGCCCATGAGGATGTTCCCTACAAACCAAGTCAACCCGCTTCACACTTGATGGCATACATGACCTTTGAACTTTGACAGCTATCCATCACTTTGTGCCATTATGACATCATAAGAGTCTGGAGTCCACCATCACACAAATAAATAATAAACAGCCTGCTTGACAATGACAAGTCAAAATTAATCTGCTACATATATTCTGAAATAAGGTCCTATCTATATGAGGATTTAGAAGACTTGGGGAAAAAAGCATATTAGTTGGAGGCTGGGATATATTTATTTGAATTTGTTTTACTTAAAATGAGGTGAGGGAACGCTATTACAACCACAATAAAAAATAAAATAGCAGGTAACAAATATCAAGTGAAAGCTAGATTAAACAATAAACCTATTAAAATTGCAACTGACTGCAAATCTTATGCCTGATGGTTCCTTTCAATTGCATCAGAAGGCTAGCAGCATGGAAACGAGCATTCCAAAGGCTGGGAAAGGCAACCCCAAAGCCTAAACAGGGAACCTGAGAAACCCTTCTGTTGCGTCTCAGCCAAAGACAATTCAGATGCTGGTGGATGTGAAGGACAGCTTCTTCAGAAAGGCAGGGCCAGTGAGAGGTGTGACGTGGCCTAGGGACAGTCCCGAAAGCTGCACAGAGAGACCTGGAGGTTCCCCATCCCTGTTATAAATTCTGCATTGAGCAGGGGTTGGACTCAATAACTTTAAGATCCTTTTCAGCTCTGTGAGTCCAAGCTCCAATGAAAACAACTTTGTCCACAGTAAAATAAACTTGAATTAAAAGCAGGAGGAAAAGGCTTTTTAAAAAACATTTATAAACAGGCGCAAAAATAAATATTGCATGTTGAGGGTGTGAACTGAGTGGATTGGGATACTGATACAGTATCCGGCATAAAATGTTGAGGGTATGATCCAGTCAAAGTTGAGCACTTTTAAATCTCACCAATCTCAGTGAGATAGTTCATTCCTAAAAGCTGCAACAGGCTGACTACTTCCCTTTTTTTATAATTGATATTTATTAAATTTTCAAAGAATAACAACAAAAATTTCCAAAAAAAATTTGAGGATACAAAAAACAAAAATAGTACATAAACAAAAAAGAAAAGAAAACCCAGCCGCAAAGAAAAAAAAAAGAGAAACAGAAAAACAAAAATATAAAGTCCTTTACAATCTCTATTGACTTCCTTTCTAGACTTCCTCCTCCTCCCCTCTTTTGTTTCTTAATTTTTAATTTTTACAGCAAATCCTTTCTGTTTTTTCATAACAATCTGTCATTACGTTTCCTTATTCTATTTCCCTCTTGTCATATAAAAACTTTAAAACTCATAGCTTATATTCAATATTTACCAAATTCTTGTATCATTACCTTTTACGAATCATTTACCAATCCTTACTTAAGCCATGTAATTTCATTCAACATCCTTCAAACATTTGTAAGCATTCCCAATATTAAAAATAAAAAAGAAAAAATAATAAGTCAAATTCAGTCCAGTCAGCTTCCAACCTCCCTCCCCTGGACCCGGATTGTCAGTCCTTTTAACCTCGATAATCCGGCTCCTTAACCTGGTTGTCTCAGTATCCGAGGCCCTCAAGTCTCTTTCTTGCCCCTTTCGCCACTCTTGTTGATGATTCCTTTCCAGTCGTGGATGCTCCAGCAAGAAAATGCTTTTGACCCTTTGCAGCAAGTCCATCCCAAACCCATTGCCCAAGCCAGACAGCAAATAATACCACTTCAAATTTCCACAAAGCTTGGAGACTTCGGCTACTCCAATCCTCTGATAGCCCATCACCAGACTCGGAAGGTCCAAATAACCATATGGAGGGGGTCGATCCATCCCCCATTTCCAAATCTGACCACATTTCATCTTTCCGAATCTGGTTTGTCCTAAGTTCATTTATCAAGTTCAAAGGCTGATCTTGCCCGTCCAAAGGTCCCTCCATCTCTGAAGCCTCCGTCACTACAGCAGGTTCATATGCTTGTATAGCCTTTAACTGAATTTCATTTGTTTGCTGCTGTGCTCTGGTAACTTCCATCATCAAGGTCGTCTCCTGACGCATCTGGTCCAGCTGGGCACTTAGTTTTGAAAACCTTCCAGGAACAATTGTTCAAGCCTTTGTACTAGCATTGTCCTTCAAGGTCAAAGAAAATTCTTTCCCACGACAATAGTCCAATAGTCCTTCTCTTTAATCTCTCTGCGTTGTAATTTCACTAAATTCCACTAGATGGAATTTTTTTTTTTTTAAAGGAATAAAAGCAACAGCAACAATCTTTCTTTTTCCAGAAACACTTTATCCAAAATTCCCCTTCCAAATTCAAGAGGCAACAGTAGAATCAAAATGTTACCCTTCTTTTAACTAACTGTCGAGCTGGATAAACTTCAGAACGTCAATTCTGACAGCCCGCTCCTGGTTCAGGGCGGTGGAAAATTGCTTTATTTTAAACTCACTTCCGCAGGATTGAAAAGTCCAAATACAACCCCCCTTCTTCTCCTGCAGTCAAAGGGGGTTCTAGAAATCTTAGATGTTGAATTCTAGTTCTCTTAGAATTTAATTTTCAAGCTTTAGTATATTTTGTCTTTGCTTTCTTCACATAACAAAAGAACGGAAGGCGACTTCCTGTTTAGACCTTCCCATTCCGAGTCCCAATTAAGTTCAATTTCAAGTCCAATATTATTTGTTTATTCACCAGTCTTAAAAGTGGTTCAACTCTTCCAAGATCAGGTACTCACGGATAGATATTTTAGATGCCAAATTGTCCAGGAAAAAGGCAGCGCTCTCCGATAACGGCAGTGCGGCTTTGCTGCACGGAGGAAGCAGTCGACTCACAGCACCACGCACCTCCACTCCGGAGCCCGCTACCGGGCTCCTGTACAAGGGGAGAGAGCGCCTCGGTGCCCGCCGAGTCCCACGTCCACAGGCTTCTTCCGCCTGTGGTTTTTGCGGGTCCCCGCTGCGCCGTAGCGGCAGGACCCAAGCCTCCGTGCAGCGGGTTCCCTTCAGTCCGAAGGGAATTCCGCCATTTTCCGGAGGCGCCACCCCGGAAGTCCAGGCTGACTACTTCCCATTCACAGAATTTAATGATGATGCTATCTGATGTCTAGAGGGATTTGCATATTCAGATTTCCTCAACTGTTTGAATATGTTCTAAAAGGGACACTGTACATGTGATAGTTTGGGAGGGGGGCATCAAAAGCATGCCTGTTAGGCCATGTCCTCTCATTATGCTTGATCTCTATGCAGCCCAGGGGTCAAGATGCAAATGGGACCTTAGAACACATGAAGACCATGTGCAATGAAGTGGCACCGCCATACTGATCATGCACACTCAGTTGCCATTTAGAATACCTGCACAAAACTCTCATGTACTCTTCTTCCTGGTGACCCAGCTGCAGCAGGCTCTTTTAATCACCTTTATCTTTTTAAATGTTTATGTAAAGAGAAAGTCATAGAATCATAGAATTGTAAAGTTGGAAGGGAACCCAAGGATCATCTAGTCCAATTCCTGCAATGTAGGAATCTTAACTAAAGCATCCATGACAGATGGCCATTCAGCCTCTGCTTGAAAACCTCCAAGGAAGGGGAGTCCACCACCTTCTGATGAAGTCTGTTCTACTGTCGAACAGCTCTTACAACCAGAAAGTTCTTCCTGGTATTTAGTCAGAATCTCCTTAACTTGAATCCAGTGGTTTGGGTCCCACCTTCTGGGGCAGGAGAAAACAAGCTTGCTCCATCTTCCATGTGGCAGTCCTTTAGATATCTGAAGATGTCTATCACATCTCCTCTCAGTCTCCTCTTTTTCAGGCTAAACATACCCAACACCCTCAACCATTCCTCCTAAGGCTTGGTTTCCAGTTGGGCTAATAACATCAGGTCTGTGCTGCTGTTGTTAGCATCACAATGATTACATAGGGGCAAACCTTCAGAGTACATTTTGTCAAAAAGAGTTGTTTAATTGAAGCAGAGGTAAAGGCAAAGGCAAAGGACCTCTGGATGGTTAAGTCCAATCAGACTTGACTATGGGGTGCGGTGCTCACCTTGCTTCAGGCCCAGGGAGCCAGCGTTTGTCCACAGACAGCTTTCTGGGTCATGTGGGCAGCATGACTAAACCACTTCTGGCACAACGGGACACTGTGACGAGTGCCAGAATGCACGGAAATGTCGTTTACCTTCCCGCCACAGCGGCACATATTTATCTACTTGCATTTGTGTGCTTTTGAACTGCTAGGTTGGCAGAAGCTGGGACATAGCAACGGGAGCTAACCCCATCACGTGATTCGAACCGCCAACCTTCCGATCAACAAGCCCAAGAGGCTCAGTGGTTTAGACCAGAGCACCACCCACTCCTTCCATGAAGCAGAACAGCTTAGAAAGAAAGAAAAGGCTCTACTGGTTTATAAATCTGTAACTTTTAAAATATATTCTTCCCTCCACTCAACATGATAAACTTCCCAAAGCTCTGTTATCCAGATAACTCCCCCTCCCCATTTCACAGATGTTTCCCTACCCCCTAATGGCGAGTCCCTCCTGGATATCCCAAAAGAAAAAGATAGGCCTAGTAAGTGAGAGAGGTCAAACATGAGCCCAGCTATTTATTACATATACTGCAACCAGATGGAAGTAACTCATCCATCAAAGAGCTCAGCGTCCTCATCGAATTAGCTTCTTATAAAAAGCCTCCTGCTCTTCCCTCTGATCCACATGGTTCAACTTCCTTCCCTTCCATGCACTTTTGGAAAATGAACCCTCTCTAACCCCGTTGCTGTGTTCTCCTTAAATCATCGCCGCCCATCATTCCATAGCTATATTTAAACTTTACTTTTATCAATACTCATCCTGTAGCTGTGGGAGATATTAAAAGTGTACCAGGGCATGGAAGGGCGTTTCTGACACTTGCTCTTTCATTCATCAGCCCCCTCGTAGGCCTGTTGGTGACAATGAAAAGATTTCACAATACCGGTGCAGCAGAAACTCATTCTCCTACTCATCCATCATGTTCAACCTAGCAGCAGTTCTACTGACCTAATCTGTAATGCCTCGGTGCTCACTGGAGATTTCTTAAAGGCACTCTTCATTGTTGTTAGTTACAAAGAATAAGTCTGTGCTATTAGATAAGGAGACTAAATGGTGCAAAGATTAATGCAATACTCCCTCATCACCATGACCAGGGTTCAACCACTTGGGTCGAACTGGAACGTCTGTTTTCTGAGTTTGCTGGAAGATCACATCCGACACTCACTCCCCCACCCCTGGATGAATAAAAATTTAAACCTATTTCAAGAGGTAAATAGGATTTTAGAGGTGCAAGAGCTATGTACCACCACTAATTTATCACTTCTGTCAGCTTTAGGGTAATATGCACTAGTTATTTTACATTATAACAAATACATTAGTCTCTTCTTTAGATAAAGGAAAAATTATGAATAAACTGTCTTGGATATTTTGATGGAGCAAAGGAATCTTCCCACTCCTTTTGCCTTCCTAGCTCTCTAGTGAATATCCAGCATCTGTAAGTGCAGGAGACATAAACAAGGTGGGGCAGAATTAGAAATTTTGCACTTTTTTTATAAGGAGGGAAATAAACAGACAGCTGGCTGGATGATTTTATCATGTCAACAGTACCATAAAAGAACAATGGCAGGACATAGAATAAACAGTTGTTCTGTGCTTGTTTCTTAAAACACCACAACTTAATAGAATGACAACTTGGTAAGAACTTTGATTTTATAAATGGTTTATTCCATGAATTCTATGTTAAAATTCCATGAATGTTGATTGCCATGGCTCACTTTGAGCACACATGAACCCTGTTCTAGATCTGAAGATCCCTTTCCACAAGTAAATGTTTCTTCAGACACGCCAATCATTCTCCTCCTCATGAAGGTCATGATGTTATATGTTTGTTTGTTTGTTTATTTATTTGTTTGTTTCCCGGTTAATTACAGCTGGGAATATGACTACTAGAACATCACTAATATAGGAATAGGTGCCAGGTTCACAGAAGAATGGCAATGTAAGCCAGCCCAGGGCAAAGAGTTAAGTACACCTGCTATAGAGATTTGGAGAATTCTGTTGGAAGCAGAAGTGGAAATTGCAATAATACATGTTTGTCCAAAGTTCAGGAACGGAACCCATGCTAGCAAATATGACCAATATTCATTACAATTGATCTTTTAGTCCAAAAATGTGATGTAAATAATTATATTTTCTGCATTATTTATACATTTCCCTTCCATGGAAATGCATTGAAATTAACTACACCGATTACATGACTAATTATGTTAAGTTTTGGCCACAGCAGATAGCAAGTCAAACAACACAGATTGTAGCAGAAACTGAATAAGTCAGGCTTATTCTACTCATTCCTGTCAAATGCGCAAGAGTGGTGATTGTGCCACACAATTTCATAAGTTTCATGCTGTTCTGGAAGAGGAATCTCCTCATTCTCATCAACAATTGTATGTTAGTAGGAGAGAGTCCACCGTCAGGTTCTGGTGATGGACAGCTTAATCTGTCTTCTGCAGTTGATCCATTTTACTTTGTGCCTAAGCTGTCTAACTGTCTACTGAAAATTGTTGTGTAAATGTGAGAACTGCCTTAACATAACTCAGTTGTGTGGGGTTTTTTACAGGAAGCATGAAAGACAAAGAAGAGGCTAGCATCCTAGAAACTCACTTTTTACTGAAGATTTTCGATCAATACTGGGTGGTTACTGCCTGGAATTTTGAGGCTTCTTGATCATCGCATTCTACTTCAAAGTATATTGGACAGGATCTGCTATTCCTATTGCCATAGTTTGCATACAGATACTTAAAAAAAAAATCTAGAATTTATCACTCAATTATGAAATCCCAAATATCCTGGTCTCATTTTCAAAATGACCGCTCCCCACTTAAAACGGGGGGCGCCCTTTGCGTGGACGCGCGCAGCCCCTAGGTCTGGAGCGGCTCCAACAGCATAGGCTTGGTTTGCCTTCCCTCAGGTGGGATACCTGGAGGTCTCCGCCTACCTCAGTCAGTTGTCCAATCCCACCTGGGGGAAGCGTTGCCAAGGAGACCAGGCCAGGTAGGGGAGGGATTACCTGCCCACACAATAGAGGGAGGATCTTACCTGGGAATCCTCACTTGGCTCCAGAGCTTCTGAGAGCCAGTGTGGTGTAGTGGTTAAGAGCGGTAGTCTCGTAATCTGACCAAACTCGCCACGTTGAGGGAATTAATAGCTACCATGATGGCTCAGCAAAAGACCACGTTGCGTCAGGTCCAGACACTCTTAGGACACCTCAATTTTGCATGCAGGGTTATCTCGCCCGGTCGCGCCTTTTGCGCACGCCTAGCCCGTCTCACGGCTGGCGGTGTTGCCCCCCATCACCACATCAGGGTCACCCACACCATAAGGGAGGACCTCAAAATATGGCTGACCTTCCTGGAAAGTTACAATGGGGTGTCCTTTTGGCAAGATTGGCTGCTGCCTAAGGAACAGCTACAGGTGCACTCTGACACCTCTGGTCGCTTTGGCTTCGGTGTCTACTTCAGGGGTCACTGGTGTGCGCAGCCTTGGCCGACATCTTGGCACGCGGAGGGCATTACACGCGATTTAACTTTTCTTGAGTTCTTCCCAATCCTAGTGGCTCTCCGGGTTTGGGGGCACCTCCTCAAGGACACCAGGGTGTGCTTCTGGTCGGACAACCAGGCAGTGGTAAGAATCATTGCGAAGCAATCTGCAAAATCCAACAGGGTAATCCGCGTGCTCCGCCTCTTCGTGCTGGAATGTCTGAAAGGTAACATCTCCTTTTCCGCACGGTTCATCCCGGGCCTCAATAACGACATTGCAGGTGCCCTGTCTCGCTTTCAGATGGAGCGTTTTCGCGACCTAGCAGCCGAGGCCGATCAACTCCCAGAAGCCTTTCCGGAGGACCTCTGGGAAATTGGACGAGAGAAGTGACAGCAGGAGTACTGAGCGCCCTTGCGCCATCAACATTGCAATCCTACACCAGAGCATGGTCCCAATTCGAGGGGTTCAGAGATAAGTTTGGTTTACGACGCAGACGTGCAGCTAAGGAGTATGATGTTCTAAAATATTTGGTTCACCTAAAGCGTAGAGGCATGGCCCTTAAGACCATCAGCCTGCACAAGGCCGCTATCTCATACTTCAGCAACTGTTTTTGGCTCCCAGACCCCTGTAACACTTTCCACGTAAGGAAGCTTATTGCAGGGTGGCGTCGCTCCCACCCGCCCATTCCAGATAAGAGGAGGCCAGTAACCATTGAGATCCTCCAGCTGATATGGGATGCGCTCCCCAGTATTTGCTGGTCCAACTATGAGGTTAGGCTCTTCAGGGCAGCCTTCTCCCTGGCCTTCTTTGGTGCGCTCCGTATCGGAGAGTGTGTTTGGGGCACATTGTCACCTCATCGCGGGGGCTTGTCTGTGGCTGATATCAACCTTGACAGGCGCATGCTACAAGTCAAAATCCGAGCCTCCAAAACCGATCAACTAGGTAGGGGTTCCACGCTAAGTCTAGCCTCCTCCAAACACACTGGACCATGCCCTGTCGCGGACATACGCAAATTCCTGAAGGTACGTCCTCCAGGACCAGGCCCTCTCCTCATTCATGCATCAGGCCGCCCCATGACCCATTGCCAATTTGTCTCAATATTGCGTAAGACCATCCATGCTTGTGGAGGTGACCCGGCACAATTTTCCGGGCATTCCTTTCGTATTGGTGCAGCAACCACGGCAGCTGCAAGCGGCCTCCCGGCAGAACACATAAAAGCAATGGGGCGGTGGCGTTCAGCTGCCTTCAAAGGCTACATTAGATTCAACCAGCAGACACTGACAGATACCATATAATCCTTTCTTTCAGGCTCAACCCCCAAACATGTGTGGATCTTCGGCCACAGCATAGTGCATTGGGCGGCCATCCATGCCACCACTGGTCCAGGCAGAGAACATCTGGGTCTGCAGCCAAAGATCTCCATTTCCTGGTTCGGACAACGTGGAATGTGGTGGGATGCCCTGCTCCCTCGGTTGCGTCACGAACTTGCGTTCCGCCACCCGCCAAACGCGGTTGTGCTCCACCTCGGCAAAAATGACTTGGTCGTGCGTAAAAGCATAATTCTGATCAAAACAGCGATCGCAGACCTGGAAAGCGTACACGCCACTCACCCCAGTATCACGATTTTCTGGTCCGAACTTCTGCCACGCTTGCATTGGCGGGGCAACATCAAATCCACTAGACTTAATTACACTGTGGAAAAAATCAATAGTGCGCTCTGCAACCACTCGCATGGGAGGTCGGGTCGTGAAACACCCCAACATTAAAGTTTACATGCAGGAGCTATTTCGGTCCGATGGCGTGCACCTATCGGACCTTGGTAACGAGCGTTGGCTGAGCGACATCAGGCATGGCCTGATTGACTGGTTGGAGGATGGCAAAAGGGCTTTTCAGATGTAGGTAGTCTTGGCGGCGAGACCACAATCTTTGCGGTCTTGGGTGGCGGTATCAGGCCTTGGGCGGAATCCTTTAGTCCATCTTCCTCTTTGC